GAGGAGCCGCTCGCTAGGCGGCGGGAGGGACTCCACGGAGTCGGCCGCCTCGGCCATGGGGCCCGCCCCTGCCCCCTCCTTCCATCTCTCTTTCTCTCTCTCTCTCTCTCTCTCTTTTTTTTTTTTCTCTCTCTCTCTCTCTCTCTCCATCTATATATCTTTTTATATATATATATATCGCTCTCTCTCTCTCTCGCCCTGTCTCGCTCTCCGTCTCGCCCTCCCCCTCAGAGAGAAAGACAGAGAAAGAGAGAGAGAGAGAGAGAGAGAGAAAAAAAAAAAAAGAGAGAAAAGAGAGAGAGAGAGAGAGAGAAAACACAAAGAAATGGCACATTATCCTAGCGAAGGTCCCAAGCATATGCAGTTATGCGTACCGTAATTGTGCATATCTGCTTCGGTGAAGCTCCCTATGGGGCCACGAAGCGCTGCACTGGGCGGGGGGGAACGCTGTACTGTGTGGGTGAATTGGGCTTCCGGGACGCATGCGGACGGTCCCACTGAGGGCTTCGGTGGAGCTCCCTATGGGGCCACGAAGCGCTCTACTGAGTGAGTAAAAATCCAAATTGGGTTTCCGGGACGCATGCGGACGGTCCCACTGGGGGCTTCGGTGGACCCCCCTATGGGGTCACGAAACGCTGCACTGCGCGGGTGAAAATGCCAAATTACATGTCCTGGACGCATACGGACGGTGGCACTGGGGCCTTGGGTGGAGCCCTCTATGGGGCCACGAAACGCTGCACCTGGGTGGGTGAAAATGCCAAATTGGGCTTCCGGGGCGCATGCGGACGGGGGCGCTGGGGCCTTCGGTGGAGCTCCCTATGGGGCCAGGAGCGCTGTGCTGGGTGTGCGGAACGCATGCGGACGGTAGCACTGGGACCTTCGGTGGTGCCCCCTATGGGGCCACGAAACGCTGTACTTGGCGTGCGGGACGCATGCGGACGGTAGCACTGGGACCTTCGGTGGGGCTCCCTATGGGGCCACGAAACGCTGTACTGGGTGGGTGAAACGCAGGGAGGAGGGGGAAGAGGGCCACGAAACGCTGTACTGGGTGTGCGGGACGCATGCGGAAGGCCTTCCCAGAAGGTAGCACTGGGACCTTCGGTGGAGCTCCCTATGGGGCCACGGAACGCTGTACTGGGTGTGCGGGACGCATGCGGACAGTAGCACTGGGACCTTCGGTGGGGCTCCCTATGGGGCCACGAAGCGCTGTACTGGGTGTGCGGGACGCATGCGGATGTTAGCACTGGGACCTTCGGTGGGGTTCCCTATGGGGCCACGAAGCGCTGTACTGGGTGGGTGAAACGCAAGAGGGAGGGCCACGAAACGCTGTACTGGGTGTGCGTGACGCATGCGGACGGTAGCACGGGGACCTTCGGTGGAGCTCCCTATGGGGCCACGAAGCGCTGCACTGGGTGTGCGTGGCGCATGCGGACCGTAGCACGGGGACCTTCGGTGGGGCTCCCTATGGAGCCACGAAGCGCTGTACTGGGTTCGCGGGACGCATGCGGACGGTAGCACTGGGAGCTTCGGTGGGGCTCCCTATGGAGCCACGAAGCGCTGTACTGGGTGCGCGGGACGCATGCGGACGGTAGCACTGGGAGCTTCGGTGGGGCTCCGTATGGGGCCACGAAAATTTGCACTGGGTGGCACCATCATCATAATCAAGATCCGCATCAACATTAGCCTCATCAGCGGCATTATCATGACCAGCACCAGAACCAGCACCATCACCACACCACTATCACCAACTCACCATAAACATCACCATCAACAATTTCCTCTTTCTCCTCTTCCTCCTCCTTCTCCTCTTCCTCCTCCTGATCCATGCCTCTCCATCCTCCTCCCCCCTGCTCCTCCTGCCCGCTCCCCCCTGGTCCTCCTTCCTCCCGCCCCGCAATCTCCGACCACCTGCCCAGCGCCCTGGCCCAGCCGCAGGTCCCAGCCCACGCCGGGCGGCTCGGTCCGCCAGCCGCCCTGCGAGCGCCCACGCAGGCCCGCCGGCTTAGCCGGCTCGACCGAGGCGAAGAACCGCTCGCTCTGCGTCAGTAGGGACTCGACCGAGTCCAGCACCTGGGGCGGCTTCCAGGGACGGGGCAGGGTAAGGAGGAGGCGGGGGGAGGAGCAGGAGGACGAGGAGGAGCAGGAGGACGAGGAGGAGCATGAGGACGAGGAGGAGGAGGAGGAGTGTAGTAGTACTAGTAGTAACAGTAGCAGTAGTAGTAGTAGTAGTAGTAGTAGTAGTAGTGGTAGTAGTAGTAGTAGTAGTAGTAGTAGTAGTAGTAGTAGTAGTAGTAGTAGTAGTAGTAGTAGTAGTAGTAGTAGTAGTAGTAATAGTAGTAGTAGTAGTAGTAGTAGTAGTAGTAGTAGTAGTAGTAGTAGTAGTAGTAGTAGTAGTAGTAGTAGTCGTAGTCGTAGTCGTAGTAGTAGTCGTAGTCGTAGTCGTAGTAGTAGTAGTAGTAGTAGTAGTAGCAGTAGTAGTAGTAGTGGTAGTAGTAGTAGT